CCGATACCGGGACTAGCTGGGATGGTATGACGTCCTTTGGAAAATGAGCAAGGAGGCGGAACCATATGTAAATTGCAATACCCCAGGGGGGGAGTGGTAATCTCGGGGGTGGCGGTTGGGGTCGAATCGAACCTTTGTCAAGAAAGGAGAATGTATCTTTGGCCAACCCATGTGGAGCAACATATGTCGCGCCACCAATGTGATGCAATCTATGCTGTGCACTCTATGTGGTGCAATATGCGTTGTGCAGCCCATGTGGTGCAACCCATGTGGTGCATCTGATGTGGTGCAATATACGTAGTGAACTCGACATGTTGATTTGCCGTGCAATCCATGTGTTGCAGCGTCTGCGGTGCAATCTATAGTTTGTTTTCTAGGGCGGGGCGGCGGCGACGGCAGCGCAATGGCGGCCAGAGCACAAGACAAGCCCGGACGGCGGGCGGGCGACGAGGCGGCGACGGGGCGGCGACGAAGCGACAAAGCCGCTAAACTGGCCGTCGGACCCAGACAATGGGTGGCGATGAGGCGGCGACGAGACGGAGAAATCGGCGACATAGCCGCCAGACCAGCTGTCAGGCCCAGTTCCTTGCAAAAGAAACAAGTCTCTCTAAGTGCCAGCAATTTTTGAGGACGAAAATGCTGACGATGCAGAAAATTACAAGAAACAGATAAACGTACCAGCTGCTGGAAGGAACAAGAGGACCATGGTCAATACTCCACGAGGAACAGTCGACGTCGATCTTCGGCATTGCTCATCTTGGTCATCGCCAACTCGTGTATAACCCCAACGAGTCGGCGACGGCCAACATGGAATATGACCAAGATTCGCGTCGACAAGATCACGACGAATTTTCCTCGAGTTGCCCCGGGGCTCCGCCCAGTCGCGGCACCCGTGGCGCGAGTGGCCCCAAACATGCGAGGTCTTGTTTTTCAGTGCGCGGTCCCCGTAGGTCCCGACCCTCTCCCGGAGGCTGGCCGGCTTCTCACCCCGCGTCGGTCTTCGACGGTCCCGAGGCCTGGCCAGGGCCCCCAGGGTCCGAAGGCTGCGACGAACCACCGTCGCAAATTGTCTGAACAACGAGGCCCACCCTGGGCATCGCTCGGACGTCCATTCCCTGTGTTTTTTTCGGTTTCGTGCGCGGTTTTTTTGCCGAGTGATTAAGGATGCTCCTCGATGGTCCTCGCCGAAGGAAAGATGCACACGTCCGAGCGATGCCAAGCACCTGCCGTTGGCCCCCGGCGCTCCGCCCTCCCGCGGCGCCCGGGGCGCGACCGGCCGCGGCCCTCGTGGGCCCCCCGGGCGCGCTCCGCCGGCGCCTCCTGCGGGCGCCCGGGGCCGCGCCGCGCCCAGCCGCCGCGCGCGCCCGCGGCACCCCCGCCTGTGGCGCGCGCGGAAGGCGCATCGGGCGGCGCCTGCGGCACCCCTGCCGCGGCGCCTGCGGCACAGCGCTGCCGCGGCGCGCCGCCGGCACCGCTGCCGCCGCCCTCCCTGCCGACGCCCGCGGGGCCACGAGCGCAAATGGCTGCTCGGAGGAGCGGGCATGGACCGAGAACCTGGCGCCGCATGTTCGCCCCAGCCCTACCTTGGTCGGGCTCCCGTTTTGAATAGGGCGCTGCTTGCGCGAACCTTCCTCCCGCCTCCCGCCATCTGCCTCTCCTCCTCGACCTGCCTCGACCTGCCTCCTCCTCCTCCTCCTCCACCTCCACTTCCTCCTCCTCCTCCTCCTCCTCCTCCTCCTCCTCCTCCTCCTCCTCCGCCTGGGGGGCTGCCAACTACGCAACTGTCCCCACTTTCGTGGGCTCCTCGGAGGTCCAGAGGGGTGGAGTGTCACGCAGGCCCCGCCGAGACATCGCGCAGCGTCGTTTGCGCAACGGTCGCCACTGTCGTGGGTTCTTGGGATATTCAGCGGACCAGCGGAGTGGAGTGCCAAGAACATCCAGTAAAGACATGGTGGCTCCCGATAAGGCTACCACCTGGGCAACTATTGCCACTTCCGCGGGCCCTTGGGAGATATGAGAAGCTTGGGGAAGAGGACGTGGAGGACGAGGAGACTCGGCGAGGAAGGGGCGGACGAGCACGAGGATGAGGACGACGAGCAGGATGAGGACGAGGACGACGAGCACGTACGTGGAGGAAGCGAAGGATAATGGCGTGGAACAGGAATAGGGGCACCAGGACGCGGGGCTGGAGGTCTGGAAATCTCGGAGGGCGGAGCCCGGCCGAGCGGCACCTCCTGGTCTCGTGGCGACGCCATCCGATGCATTGATTTCTGGCACGCGTCCTCCAAAAATCCCGACCATCTCCCAGGGATTGGCTGCTGGTCATTTCTTACGGTCCTGGGTCTTCTCGAAGCCCCTCGAGCTTTCATGACGTTGGGAGGTCTGGGTCGGAAGCCGACCCCAGGCTCATTCTGGTGGGACTTGTCGCGATCGCGAACAGATCGAAAGAGAAACCGTCCTTAGCGACGACGAACCTCGACTCCATCCTCGAACCTCGATATGTGAATCTCGAACTCCCACAATTACGTAGTACGAGCTGTATCCCCCTCTCCCTTGACTCTGTCGGGAAGATGGGTGACCCTCCACGCATACGGTGTTGCTTTACACTGGATGTCAACCATTCTGCTTTCTCATGCCACTGCTGCAACCCTATTTGTCTTCCGCGGTTCAAGCTGGTGTTCCCGCTCCAGCGTGGGCAACGTTTTCGGATCAGCGCTTTCCCCCGTCGTTCAGAATGGCGCTCTCGCCCCAACGCAGGCCACTTTTCTGGATCCGAGTCATCGTTCGTCGTTGCCGCCCCCGTTTCTCCCTCTCGGCCTTCCCCTGGTCCTTCTGCTCCCCCTGCTCCTTCCGCTCCAGATCCTGCTGCTGCTGCTGCTGCTGCTGCTGTGCGTCCTCCTCCTGCTCCTGCTCATCCTCCTGCTCCTCCCCCCCCCCCCTCCCCCCCCCCCCTCCTCCTCCTCCTCCTCCTCCTCCTCCTCCTCCTCCTCCTCCTCCTCCTCCTCCTCCTCCTCCTCCTCCTCAAATGTTGTGGCCTGAGGCTGTTGCAGGCCAGAAGCAGCGCGCTCAGCTGCTGGCGAATTACCAGAATCCTTCCTGCTCTTTCTGCCGCGTCCGCATCGGTATCATCTACCACATGGATTTCCTGCTGGTGAAACCCATGGGGTCCGGGAGATGGTTGCTCTGACACGCAGCATAGTGCGGACGCCGACGGTTGGAGGCAAGGGCCACCCGTCGAGCACCGGCGAGTCATGAACTCCTTCTGCGACGCGCCGCTGTGCTTCGCACTGCAGACCGCCGGCCGCTTCAAGGACCCGCACCCTGCGGAGCATGTGAGCTTCACGCGCGAGACCCATCCAGCTGCGGACGGATGCCCCGAAGCTCGCCGAGAAGCTGTCCCGGACGGGACACGCGCTTGCGCGGCATGGGGGCAGTGACTCGCATCATGATGCTGCTGGGGCGCACAGAAGTGTGAGGCAAGCCTTCTGCTTTGTGCAGGGCCGCCGACGCGTCCTCGCCCCGGCTGTCCGCAGACATGGCCGCGAAGCTCATGAGTCAGGAAAGCTCAGGCTCGACCAACGGCATGCACTGGATGCTGCCGCTGCGCATGGGCATGCAAATCCGGCTGATGAAGCACCTGGGCCTGGAGCGAAACTTGGTCAAGGGCGCCGAGGGCGGGATCGTGCACGTGGCAATCAACCTCCGAGGCGAAGAGAACACGGACCCCACCCGTACCTGTTCTACTTGCCCTTCCGTGTGCGGCCTCGCGTTGATGAGATCGTCCCTGTTCTGCAGCCAGCGGGCAGAGCACACGGGATGGGCCGAAGTCTCGGACCTGGCGAGGCTAGTCTTCATCGAGCCGCACACGTCGAGCCCCGATGGCTTCTGCAAATAGCCGCTGGCTACACCTGCATGGCTCCACCTGCACGTCAGGCCCTCCCGGGCGACGACGTCGGATAACCTGCTCATGGTCCGCGGCCAGGGCCCTGGTGCCTTGTCTCAGGGATGGCCTGCTGACCTGACCGCGCGCCTACTGATATCCAGTGCCCGCGCTGAGCACTGCAGAAGGCGGCGGAGACGTCGGAACGCGAGCTCGGCCGGGATAAATTTCTGCACGACTGACGATGACAGCGTTGGCCTCACTTTCGGATCGGCGCGTTGCACCTGTCGTTCAGAATGCCACTCTTGCTCCAGCGCAGGCCACTTTTCTAATCCGAGTCCTTCCTGGTCATTGTCGCCCGCCTCATTTCCCCGTCTCCGCCCTCCCCTGGTCCTTCTGCTCCTCTCGCCCCTTTCACTTCAGCACCCGCTGGTATTACACGTCCTCGTGCTCCTCCTTCGTCCAAATTGTCATCATTTCCCTCCTGCTCATCGTCCTGCTCCTCCTCCTCCTCCTCCTGATCCTCTTCTTCCTTCTCCTCTTCCTCCTCCTCCTCCTCCTCCTTCTCCCCCTCCTCCCCATCCAATGTATGCAGCTCCCACTTCCCGACTCTGCACAACACGATGGGGTGTTTTCAGGAGTTCCAGGTCCCTCTGTCCTCCGCCTTTTCGTGATACGCACCCTGTGCCTTCCAGAACAGCTCGAGTACCCCCTGAATCCCCCTCCTCATCGCGCACCCGCCCGCCCCTCTTTCCCTCCCTGCCCTGCCCGCCGCCCTCCACCTCCTGCAAGGAGGGCGCAAACCCGACTTGCCTGGCTGATGCTTTGGGGTGGGGGGGGGGGGGCTGTGCCCAAGGGAGGCTGCAACACCGCTCTGCGATGCCTTGTTCAACCGAACCTGCAGGGTGAGCCCTTCCCCAATCCGTGCTCCGGTGCGGATCGTCTGTGCGCCACGTCTCTGTCGTCGTCGGACGCGTCGTCGTGGTCGTGGTGCGCGGTGTTCTGCTCGGGACTTGCTTCCTGTGTGCAAGGGCCACCACCACCCGCCTCCTCCTCCTGCGCACCCCCGAACGTCGCCGCCGCCGCCGGCGACGGCAGCGGAAGCGGTTGCGATGGCAGCCTGCGCATGTCGCGCTGCGTCATTTCCTTCTGCTCCGTGAGGCGATGCACTTGCTCGCTCTCGTACACGAGGTTATCCTTGAGCTCCGAAACCTGGGGCCCGCCAAAAGCGGGCCAGCGTCGAGGAAGCGTCACGGCGGGAGGTGTTTGGGGCACCTCGGGGGACTTCGCCGGGCCCCGGAGCCGTCAAACGACGGCTCGGGGTGAAAAACCGGCCCTGGGAAAAGGGTCGGGACTTCTGGGGACCGCTCGTTGAAACAGGAAAACCTCGCATGTCTGAGGACCCGTTCCACAGGGGGAGGAGGCAGAGGAGGAGGCAGAGGAGGAGGAGGAGGAGGAGGAAAAGGAGGAGGAAGCGGAAGAGGAGGGGGAGGACGAGGAGGAGGAGGAGGCGGAGGAGGGGGAGGAGGAGGACGAGAAAGAAGATAAGGCTTCTTGGGATCGAGGCGAGGTCGGCCCCGGGCACAGCGAGCTCGCGGGCGGAGCTGCCGCTGGCCAAGCGAGGCCCGCGCCGAGACATCTCCGACGGTCTGATGGTGTTTTCAATCCGCGCGTTTCTCCGGGGAGCTTCTCAGCCCGTCAGTTTTCCCGCGCAGCCCCGCTGCTGCTTGGTGAATGGGCCGGCCGGCCTGTGGCGCGTTCAGCAGCTGATTAGGCCGTTTCCGTGTCCCGGAACGCTTCTGACTCCGCCTGTGCTTTCGCTTGTGGACGCGACCGAAAAAAGAAGTTTCCCCGGGGAGCCCCGTTGTCTCGGGGATCGGCAGAGCCCCCTCTAGCAAAACGTGGTTTAGGGAGAACGACCTCGGGCCCAAACCTGCCGGGCGCGAGCCTGAAAAGGACGGCCGAGGCGCCCTCTCGAGAACCGAACACGGACCATTCCCTAATCGACGTGTCAGGGTGGGGGTTCTGTCCACCCCCGATGGTCGGGCCCCGAGGAACCATCAAACATTGTGAAGGGGCCCTGGGACACACAAATAAATACACACGAATAAAAGGATCCCCCTATATTTTCTCATATCTTCTGGGTTTTCATCTTCCCCCCACTTCCCATATGTTCCCAGATTTTCCTGGGGATCGACGATTCATTGTGTCTGTGTGTTTTCTCTCCTCCTGACATCGATGATCTGGGGTGAAGCACTGCCGCGCAGGGAAAGGGTCGGGAACCCTGTGGCAGAGGATTCCTGATGATCGTAGCGGCGGACGTCTGGGTCCCGGGCGGAGCCTCCTCCTCCTCCTCCTCCTCCTCCTCTTCCTCCTCCTCCTCCTCCTCCCTCTTTCTCTCTCCCCTACTCCTCCCCCGCTTCGTAGGGAAAGGGCCGGGAACCCTGTGGCCGCGGATGCCTCAAGATCGTAGCGGCGGACGTCCGGGCCCCGGGGCGGAGCGGGGCCCGTGCGCAGGGCATCCGCGCGACCTCTGACGGCCCGCCCTTGCGAGGCCTCACTGCTCGCCGTCGCTCGGACGTCCATTTCCCGTGCATGTGTTCGGTTTCGTGCGTGTTTTTGTTGTTGCTCGATGGTCCAAGATGATCCTAGATGTTTTTGTTGCTCGATGTGTTTGTTGCTCGATGTTTTTTTTGCTCGATGATCCTTGATGGTTCTCGCGGAGAAAAAGTGCAAACAAGTGCACACGTCCGAGCGATGCCAGCCACCTGGGTCCGCGCAGCACCGCACTCCGCTGGAGCTCCCATGAGGCCACGGCAGCGGCGACGGCGGCGCAGGCGGCAGCCACCAGCGAGGGAGGCGGGAGGCAAAGAGGCAGGCAGGCGGGAGGCAGGAGGCAGGATCCCACAGGGGAGGCGGGGGGGGCGGGACTAGAGTGGAAGCAGCGCTGCTGTATCCAAAGCAAGGGGCCGACATAGAAGGGTTGAGACCTCCCTTCCCAGCTGTCTCTTTGCTCTGTTTCCTCCTTCCCTCCCCCCCCCTCTCCTCCCCACCATCTGTGTGCCCCTCCTCCTTCCTCTTCCTCCTCCTTTCCGTCGAGTGGCTCGCGTTTCGCCTCCATCTCCCACTAATACCCTCCACGAACGATACTTCCCTGCAGAGCAGCTGCAGCACGCCCCAAGGCTGGCCGTTTCCTAGCGCCGTATCAACCGGCCAACGCCTCCGTCAGTGTCGCGCATCCGCGCGGCCGCGCCTCGTCCGCCCCCAGCGCCGTCCAGGGCTGGTGCAGCGCTGTGCCCAGCTCGGTGCCCCACTGCACTGCAGGGTCGCTCGCGGTGGCGTCAGTTTCCCGGCTGTCGCCAAGCAGCTGCGCGCGTCTGCGGGACAGCCACCGCAAGTGCTTGAGCGCGGCTCCCGCGCCTGCGGCGGCGCGGCCAATTCAACAAATTACGCGCCGCCACGGGCGCCCCGGGGCGCGCGGCGAGCCGCGCTCGCAGCGCCCCCAGCAACACGCCGTGCACGGCCCCGACACCATGCCGAGCACCGACCGCCGTTTCCCCGGCTTCCGCCCTCACCCAACGAACCCGCGGTCGTCACCCCCTGCCGCGCGGGTACAGTCAACCCGCATAGTGAGGATACGCGGTGAGTTACTCCGAACTCCGCAGAATAACGAAAGGGGCGGGTCACAACCCTGCCAGACGAGCAGTTTTAGACTCCCCCCCCCAGACCAGCCACGAAAAGACAACCTGTTGCCCCGACCCCCATGGAACCCTCCAAGACAGCAGACATGAGCCCCCCGCAACTGTGACTCCGCCCTGTATTCTGGAAGCCAGAGAAGAGTTTCTCCAACGAGGTTGGCCAGTGAAAGCCGCTAAGAATGGGCCGAAGGGGCAAGGATGCAGGGGGGTAGCCTTGGAGAGTCGCGCAATCAAAGTGCGCTGGCTGACTGTGCCTCGCAGGAGCGACCGCCGCCAGGCGCTTACCGCTCACCTCCACGCCCCTGCCGCACGCCCCCCACCGCGCCACGCACCTGCAGAGGTCACAGGCGACGACACGGGCCTCCGCTCTGCCGCCTACTCCTGACGACCTACCAGACCACCCCGACCCAACCCGAAGACCTCCATTTCGGGTTGAGGGGGGGGGGTCCGGGTTCCATCTGTGTTGTGTGCTCAATGCTCCCCGACCCTCCCCTCGCTGGAAACGGAGGGCAGATCGGGGCCTTCGGGTTGCGTTGAGGTGGTTTGGTGGGCAGCGACAACAGCAGCCCTGCAAGCCCAGTGCGACTCCATCACTGCCGTGCTCCTCGGCGCCCCCGAGCGCCATGGTGCCCACACTCGGCGTCTTCCACGAGTTCCCGTGGCGTGGGCGGCCCTTCGTCGGCCGCCCTTCCCGCCACCACCAACGGTCGACACGGCGACCGCGAGGGAGGCCTTGCGCAGTCGTGCTCCATCGGCTGGCCCATCGGCTGGCCCGTTTCACCCTACATTCTCGCTCCGTGCCCCGCGTGATGCATGGCAGGCGCTCCGCGGTTCCGCGCTCACCCGCGCAATGGTTGCCCTGCGTGCGGCACTGCACGCTGCCGACGTCCCCGCGCCAACGTGGACTGCCCGAGCGGCGGCCCGTCTTCGTGCGATGCGCAGACGCGGGGCGCTTCGCCATCGTCACCACTCCGCTGCTACTGCTCAGTCGCCTAGGCGCCAGGGAAAGAGGGAGCTTCGTTATCAAGGACACCTTGCTTTTTCTTTGGCTGAGCTCGGCCAAAGGTGGGCACGGGCGGGCAGCCGCTTGTCGCTGCCACCCCGGACATCGTCCACATCGCTGGGTGGGTACATGCCTGAATGTGTGTGTTGTTTTGTTGTTTTTTCTTTTTTTGTTTCTCTCTCTCTCTCTCTCTCTCTCTCTCTCTCCCTATATATATATATATTTCTCGCTCTGTCTCCCTATGCCTCTTCTATCCCTCTCTCTCTTTCCTTTTCCCCACATGTTTCGTGGGGTTCTGGCTTTCTTCCCTGCCGCGCCGCACCCGCGTCTCACACCTCCCCCCTCCCCTTCTCCTTCTCGCACAGCACAGCACAGCACAGCACGGCACGGCACGGCACGGCACAGCACAGCTCACCGCACAGCAGCACAGCACAGCACAGCACAGCACAGCATACCACACAGGGCATTCCTTCGACGCCACAGGGGGTGGGGGTGCGCAGAGGGTGGTCCCTCAGCGCGGCCTCTATCCGTGACACGCTCGCAGATCGTGGCAGGCGTGGCACTTTCTCGACACCACAGGGGGTGCGCAGAGGGTGGTCCCTCAGCGCTGCCTCTATCCGTGACACGCTCGCAGATCGTGGCAGGAGTGGCATTTTCTCGAAGCCGCAGGGGGTGCGCAGAGGGTGGTCCCTCAGCGCGGCCTCTATCCGTGACACGCTCGCAGATCGTGGCAGGAGTGGCACTGTCTCGACACCACAGGGGGTGCGCAGAGGGTGGTCCCTCAGCGCGGCCTCTATCCGTGACACGCTCGCAGATCGTGGCAGGAGTGGCACTTTCTCGACGCCACAGGGGGTGCGCAGAGGGTGGTCCCTCAGCGCGGCCTCTATCCGTGACACGCTCGCAGATCGTGGCAGGAGTGGCACTTCTCGACACCACAGGGGGTGTGCAGAGGGTGGTCCCTCAGCGCGGCCTCTATCGTGACACGCTCGCAGATCGTGGCAGGAGTTGCATTTTCTCGACACCACAGGGGGTGCGCAGAGGGTGGTCCCTCAGCGCGGCCTCTATCCGTGACACGCTCGCAGATCGTGGCAGGAGTGGCACTTTCTCGACACCACAGGGGGTGCGCAGAGGGTGGTCCCTCAGCGCGGCCTCTATCCGTGACACGCTCGCAGATCGTGGCAGGAGTGGCACTTTCTCGACACCACAGGGGGTGCGCAGAGGGTGGTCCCTCAGCGCGGCCTCTATCCGTGACACGCTCGCAGATCGTGGCAGGAGTGGCACTTTCTCGACACCACAGGGGGTGCGCAGAGGGTGGTCCCTCAGCGCGGCCTCTATCCGTGACACGCTCGCAGATCGTGGCAGGAGTGGCACTTTCTCGACGCCACAGGGGGTGCGCAGAGGGTGGTCCCTCAGCGCGGCCTCTATCCGTGACACGCTCGCAGATCGTGGCAGGAGTGGCACTTTCTCGACACCACAGGGGGTGCGCAGAGGGTGGTCCCTCAGCGCGGCCT